TTATTTATTTATTTATTTATACCCCCACCTATCTAGTCACAACAAGTTTAGGAGAAGTGGATCACACCCACTGTGTACTTTTGGTTTTGTTTTCTATTTTCACAGGGCCAAACAACTGGAAAATCTTCATTCCTGTCTCATCAAAGAGCTTGAAAGTTTTGAAAAAGATTCACAGGCTTTGAGAAATGTGGAAAAAGACTTTGCAGTATGTATTTTGTTCATGGAACCAAGGGACTACTTACAATTCTCTGTTGCATTCTAAATGCAGGACATTTTTAGAGTGCTATCAAGTATATTGTTTAAACTGTTAGGAAAAAAATTTCTAAGTTTAGCATTATTAGACAAAATTTTACCCATAGTATACAAATGCTTAGCAGTGTATTTTTGTACAGTTCACACTTTTTGTGGAGATGCTATCATTCTCTTTTTTTTAAATGACAACCCTGAAAAAGGATAAAGTACTCTCCACCTAAAGGCCACTTGCAGCTTCCAAATGTTATTATTTATTTATTTTATTTATTAGTTACATTTATGCCTGTCAATGAATTCAAGGTTCTCCTCCCCATTTTATCCTTACAATAGTCTTGTGAGGTAGGTAAGGATGAGCAATATTGACTGGCCCAATCTTTTTAGAGTCGTCACCCTTTTATAATAACCAAGTAACCTGCAACACCCCCACACAAATACACCATGTTTCCATAAAAATGCATTTTAATGGGGTAAAGTCATCCCTTTTCAAAAAGCAGAGGCTTCTTTTTCCCTCAAAGGGCCTCTTTCTCTTGCACACACATACACTCTAACTTTAATATCCCACTGTGATCCCAAGGAACAAATCATATAACAAGGGCTAAAACACATATAAGGTGAACTTTAATCCCTCAGAAAACAGTTTGTGACACCCCTCTTGGGGGTCATGATCCGCAGGCTGGGGAAACACTAGCTTAGTGGATTTCTCAAGTCCTAGTCTCAAAGTTTTACCATTGTGCCACACTGGCTCTTGTCCCACTCCAGAGTGCTGTGGGGAAACATGGCTGATTCAAACACAGCAGTTGTTACCATCTTCACCATTTTCATCACTACTCTGTTTCCCCCAAAATAAGACCTAACCTGAAAATAAGCCCTAGTATGATTTTTTCAGGAGGCTCATAATATAAGCCCTACCCCCAAAATACGCCCTAGTTAAATGCAACCCCTCCCTCCACCATTGTGCAGCAACCAGAAGATGACATGAGTGTATTTGAATAAATGTAGAGTGTTGTACATTAAAAAATCCCCTGAAAATAAGCCCTAATATAAGATCCTGTCTTATTTTCAGGGAAACATGGTACTTGCTAACATTTTAATGTGGCAGCTGTGGAATTGATCTTGTACCAAACATTATGGTATTTCTGTCCTTGGAGAGACCCCTGAGAACCCCCATACCACTTTTTAATGAACAAAAACTCCTTGTGGGTTCCTTGTGGCTCACGGAGAGGGCTAGAGCACAAATTTGGCTCTAACGCCCCAAGCCTGCCCACTGCTGAACTAGATGCAAAGACCTAAGGCCATAACCAATGAAGAGATTGGGAAGATTTAGGTATTCTGTAAGAATCAGTGACATCAGAACTCACCAGATTCCTAGTTCACAGGTTTTCCAAAATGTTGTTCCATTTCTCTGCCACTTTTCTTCACTATTACTATTTTGCATTGATCTTCCTCTCCATCCAGTGCTTAGTGCTAATTCAGCTCTTTCCTCTCTTCACTGGTCCCTAATTAACTAAACAGAAACTTTTCTTTTCCCCTCCCTCCTTTCCTGTCTTCCTAATGTTTGAAAAGTGTGAGGTTGCTATAGAGGGAGGCACCTCATGGACCTTCTACAGGTATTCTGGAGAGATTAATATACCAGGTCTGTTTACATTTCCATATCTAGGGAAGGTTAGGACATTTACCATCTATTGGCTAAAGATGGTGTAAAGATCTACAGACATATTTTAATTAAGATTTATTAACCTGTTAAACAGAAAATACTGCAGGGTACTCTTGGTACACAGGTCAAGTTTCAAGTGTACGTTTTAACAATTACACTTGAAACTTGGCATGGCAGAATAGGCACATGAATGTACATTTTCTTATCATTTAGCAATACTGTACAGTGCACAATAAATTATTTTATAAAAAATAGTGAAAACCACATTTACATAGTGATTGTTTATCCGTAGAACTTTTCAAAGAAACAGTGTGAGATGTTCAGCACGTACAACAAAAACGAGCAACGAAGGTCAGTGTACTTTCTCATTATTGGAATAGAAAATAGCACCATAGTATCAACATAATTGTAGTTATGCTTGTTATTTTCATTTATTTATATAACACCGCGATGTACATGGTACTTGGGAGAAGAGACTCCATGTCCTGAGAAGCTAATAAATACAAGAGACAGCAGAGGAATGGGGAAGGAAATGTAGCAGAAAGAGATAGGGAAGATATATGTGGTTATGTCTTTAGGCACATTTATATTAGGTATCTAAGCAAAGACAGGAGAGTCAATGTCCAGACTCAATTTGGTGAGTAGCATCATCACGTATTCCAGCAATATCAAATACTGAATGACACTTAATTAATCTGATCCTGACATAGTAAATGGCTTGAGGTGAAGGAGCTTGGCCAGGAGACTTGTGAAGGTTTGAGGAGCATAGTCTTTTTATTAAGCTCTTCTAATTTCTTCTTAACTATATCATGTGATTGGATCCATTGAGGCTACTGAATATCATTAGTGTACAGTGAACAGCAGGGCAGTTCTGTCGCCTTCATGTCCCATTCTTAACTTGCCAAGGCATCTGATTGGCTGCCATTCATGAAGACTTGATGTAGACTTAGTAGACTTTGGGTCTGATCTAGCAGGGCTCCTCTTGCTCTTCTCACTGCACACATACTGGAAGGAATACAATCAGATGTAATCAAACCTGTTGTTTTTTTGTTGTTCATAATCATAATCATCATCATCATCATCATCATCATCATCATCATCATCATAAACAAAGTGCCTTCCCCACATTCTGGAGCAAAGACACTTAATAATGTTTTAATTTATACTCTTTTAGACTTCAGAATATCAAAACTTCACTTGAAAAGAACATTTACCATAATACTGACAGTGAGCAAGATATTTTTATATCTCAGGTATGTGTTTTCTATTTCTTCATGATAGAAGGGAACAAAATACAACATTTTGAAGGCTCAGAATATATATTTACCAAGACTATCTAGAGCAAATGGAAAATGCCTAAGTGCTCTTGTGCTGGGATTCTCCTTCCAAGAACATTCCCGTGTACCTCCACTGAGATTTTAGAAAGTAGTTCATAGAAAGCTAGTTAATTTACAAAGATAGATCATATGAGTGCTGAACATTATATGGGAAATTGTAAGTCAACTATTTTGTACGTTCCATTGATTCAATGTGCCTGCTCTTACTATGGTAAGCAACAGCTTTCATCCAATATGTAAATAACCTGTGTGGCTCTCCACTGCTGTTGGATAGCCTGTCCTATTTATCTTATTATTATTTCTCTAGAACTAGAATTGCCTAGCTAGAACACTGTTATGTGACTCCTCATACTTTCAGCTGATATTTAAGAGGAGGCAGAATGACTTGGTATCATAGCCTTGTATCTTTGCAATCTGGCTCACCTGGTAGCAAATAATTCTGCTCTTTCTCTGTTGTAACATGGAGCACAGAATCATTCCAAGATCAGAAATGCAGCACCATTACCTCCTCCCAAAGGAATGTTAGGTCTCTGCATGATATATTGCTCTCACCTTGTTTCTTGTACAGCACATGGCAGACTACTAACAGATTGGCCCTGTAGGCACAGTGGTGGGATTCAAATACATTAACAACAGGTTCTATGTCCTAATGACAAATAAATAAATAAATAAATAAATAAATAAATAAACAAACAAACAAACAAACAAACAAATAAATAAATAAATAACAGGGCTCTGTCTCTCTCACCCCCACCCCACCTCAGACGGCTCAGTGTGGCACGGGAAGGGAGGCAGCTAATTGTGCCCCCTTCCCCCCCGCTCATCGCTGGTCACCTGGCCCCTCCTCCTTCATTCATCTCAAGCCAGCAAACGGTTCTAAGAACCAACAGTACATTTAGGAACCGGTTCTATAGAATAGGTGAGAACCTGCTGAATCCCACCTCTGTGTAGGCATGCCCAGAACAGTGAATTACGTAGAAGCACAGAAAATAATCTCTTCTCCATACTTTGAAGTTAATAGTATGCTTCAGTTATCAGATGTTTGGAAACATTGGAAGTGATGGATTTGCATAAAACAGCAACTTCTGCTTGGTTGCTGTTCTCTGCTGCAGAAGCTAGTAGCCCATAACAGGTGGCACCCCTCCGGCCGCGACATGAACTCTTATGGCTTCCTGCTGTGCTTTACCATTGCAGAAATGTGGCAGAGTCTGACTGTCCTTTGAAGGCACTATAAAGTGATATCAGCAGCTAGACTTGAGTGAAAATAAATGTCAGTTTTTGTTCCATTTTAGATGCATCGAATTAAAGAAGACATGAAAGGGATCCAGGAAAGGTTACTAAAGGAGATGGTAAATGGTGTTACCTATAATATTAGAAGCAATGAAGTTATAATTATTATAAAACTGTAATCTGATGTGATTATGTTGTTGTTGTTTTTTTATAAAATCACAGCATGAAGAGGAATTGCTAAATGTCCGAAAAGGACTTCAGTCACTATTCATGGCAGAAAATATGAAGTTCTAACACAGTGCTCTTCGATGCAAGGACATGGAAGAATGTATATGTTTGTAGTGTTTTTGTAATGTCAGTGGCCTATAATTTCAGTAGTGGGGCATCTGCTAGTTGATTTGATCCAATTAGAGGAAACATAATTTTCATGAAATTATTTTTATTGTTACTGTAATGTATGTAGATAAACCATTTTATGTTTTATGTTAAATGTAACTACATTTTAATAAATCTGTTAAAATATAACATGTAAAAGTTTGTTTTTAAAAGAACTTGTGTTCTGAAAAAAACTTGAGGAAATAGCAAAAGTTCTAAAATATGGTGGCCGGATTTGGTACTAAATTCAGCCTTTACTTACAGTAATAGTCAAAACAGAATCTTCTTCACTTCCTTTGAATCCTAAAGTCTGCAACACCAGCTGAAAATCAGGGTGTTTCTTATAGCTACATAATTTGTTTTGGGGTACATGAGGAAGGGGATGCATGATGGGGGAGACATAATCCTTTCTGTCTCTGGCTGAAATCTTATTGCATTTGGTGTAGAATGTAAAGTTTCATCTGTGTATGTTACAAGGAGTTACACCTAGGCAGTCTATTTTATATGTCTGGTTGTGCAATTGATGGTGCAACTACTTACCCACAGAACCACTTGCTGGATATGATTTCTGCCTTGGTACAAATTTCACAACTGCTTGTCTGACTTTGAATTACACAGGCTTCACTACGCAACAAAACATCTCTGTTTTGTTGGATTCTGGTGCTTCGCTAGTAACTGGGTAGCACTGGTCAAAGTTAACAACTCTTGGTTTTAGTAGAACTGAGTCATGGCTAACTAGTTATATTAGGGACAACTGTAGCCTTCCATACGTGATTTGCATAATTCCTTACCTTTGGTTTTGCTGGCTGGGGCATGATAGAAACATCAGAAGGGCCAAAGCTGCCTATTCCTGCTTCAGAGTATTTATTTACTTTTTGCATTTTATGGCACCTTTTTCCTTGTAAAAGGATTCAAGGCAGCTCACATGTCATTAAAACAAACAGGAATCAAAACAGAATTACATAAATCCTTAAAAAGCTATTAAACATGGTAATGTTAGAATACTTATATAAAAATGTTTTGAAAAGTACAAGAACATTTAAAAGACATTAAAAGGATATAACCCTAGGACATTTAACTCACATTAAAACTGGATATTAGAAGCAGATAGCTTGGATCCAAGCCAAATAGGGCTTATGGCACTTTAAATTGGGCTCGAAAACAGGCTGGCAGCCAATAAAACTGCTGTAACGGGAGTTAAATGCTTCCTGTAACCAGTACCAGTCAACTTTTGAAACAGTCTTCAGAGGCAGCCCCACATAGAGTATGTTGCAGTAATCCAAAAAGGCATGTCTCACTGTAGCCAAATTAGGCATCTCAAGGAATGGGCATAACTGATAACACTAGGTTTAACAATTGCAATTACTCTGTCCGCTTCCTAAATCTAGGCATCCAGGCTCAGGGTTGAGTCCAGGAGTACATCCAAGCAGTGAGCCTAAGTTGGCATGGGGAGTTCCAAGCAGTGAGCCTAAGTTGGCATGGGGAGTTTAACTTGGGAGTTAAACTTCCAGTACAGATAAATCCCTATTTCCTGATCAGTCTTTCAACTGACTAGAAGCACCTCTGTTTTGTCTGGATTAGGTTTCAATCTTTTTGCTTTCATCTACACCATTACTCTTGTCAAACTCTGGTTTGGAACAGAAAAGGCTTCCTTGCATACTAGTGGTTCAACCATAAATCACCAGAGGTAAATGGGATACTGATAGAACTAATATGGTGGCTTTCATCTTTCCGAGCATCTTGTCCACATGCTTAGGCTGTATGGATTGAAATGTATTTATTAGCCATAAAATAAAGTTATTTTCACATGTATTACCAGAACTGGTCACTAGAGGGCACCAGAAACCATGCTATGTACAGTATTATTAAAAGTATTCATAGCATGCTCTCCCTCTAGTGACAAATTCTGGTAATACATGTGAAAATAAGTGTTTTTTTTCTGGATTTAAAAAAAAATGCTTTTAATATTTTTAGACCATGGATAAGTGAATCAGTGGATACTGATCCCATGGATAAGGGGATCCTACTGTACATTTTCTCATATGATGCCATTTTGAACTTACAACCATTCATACAAGGGGATCTGTATGTAGAAAAGATTTCATTAAATGAAATTCTATAGCAAAATTTTTTTTGTATATTAAATTTTCACAAATTCTGAAGTTTATACTACAGTGGTGCCTTGCTTAACAATTACCTCATTAAACGACAAATCCGCTTTACAATGGTTTTTTTGCAATGTTCCCATGGGCTTTTTTCGTTTGACGACGATCAGTTCCCTGCTTTGGGAACCAATTGTTCACTTAATGATGATTTTAAAACAGCTGATCGGCGGGTTGCGAAATGGCCACCCACTGTGCAAAATGGCTCCCCGCTGTTTTCAACACTGATTGCTCGCTTTACAGGCACCGGAAAATGGCCGCCCTATGCAGGATCTTCGCTGGACGATGAGGTATTTCACCCATTAGAACACATTAACCGGTTTCTAATGCATTCTAATGGGTTTTTTAATTTCGCTTGACAACGATTTCACTTAACAGCGATTTGAACGGAACGAATTATCGTCAAGTGTGGCACCACTGTATTATGTTCCTTTTATCTTTCCATTCCTATGTTTTTCCTGAACCATCTTTTTGGGGCTACAATATTATGGGTACTTGTTTGAATAAATACAGTAGTGAGATATTTCTGAAGAAACATGCAAAAGGCACTACGTTTCTAGCACTACATTATGCCAACAGCTATATATTATGTGTTATAAGATCTACTTTGCAGACAGAATGAAAATTGGTTGATGTGTCCAGGTTCAAAAACACAATCCACACATTTTTTGAAGGAAATATTACACTTATGTGTCATGTGTTTGGATGTCACAGTGGGTGTGTATTTAACAATACACCTGTCTGGATGTCCACTTCAGATATTGCAGCCCTCTCTGTGGTGTTTATCATACCATTTCAGAATCTCTGCCCCTTAGGAGCAACCTTTGGGTGGATGAGACTTACTACCAGATGGGCAGGTTGGAGCAATAAAATCCTGTTGAGAACAGAAGTCTTCATGCATCTGTGGATCAAATACCTTTACTTTGTAAGATTAGATTATGTTTTCATGTTTTCACACTATTTTCATATTGTCATACGTTAGGTGGATTGAATCCAATTTTCTCCAAGGTAACAATAAGCTCAATATTAAAAGAGGCTCATGAGTAACTCATGCCTTTATGACTAACATAAATCTCACTGCTCAGTGGAGGCCAAGGAACACTAACATTAAAAAAAATACACACACAAACACAAACACAGAGTGCACCATACCAAAGGTCTGTCTAGTCTTGCATTTTGTTCCCACAATAGCCAGCCAGTTGCAAACACAAAGGCCACAAGGACATGTTTCTTGTGTCTGAAGTGGATTTTGATCTATGAACACTCACATTGAAATAAGGCAACTAAAAGGGTGCTTCTTATATACTGCCCCATAATGCTTAAAGCATTCTGGGCAGTTTATAACATAATTAGGCAGGCTACACATTGCACCTTCCCTCAGCAAGCTGGGTACTCAATTTACCATACTCAGAAGGATGGAATGCTGAATCAATCTTGTCGCAGCTACCTAAGCCCATTGGGATTGAACTCAGGTTGTGAGCAGAGACTTAACTTCAGTACTGCAGTTTAACCACTGCACTATGGGATTCCCAGATAAATCTTCTAGTCTTTAAAATGGCACCATATTCTGCTCTTTTGCAACTCCCTCTTTCCCCTTTGATTGTTGCCAACATGCTGGACATGAGTGCAACAGCACCTTTCAGCTCATGCTGCCCTGTAAATATTCTACAGATGCATAGTGCTTATGGACCTCGAACCAACACATGGCTCTCTAAACTAGTCACTGGTAGCTCCATCCTCCATGGGTTTATTCATCCTCCATGAGTTTATTCAATCTTATTTTAAAGCTATCCTAACTGAAGTTGGATCTGGCCTTATTTCTCTAGTCTAATACTGTATTGTTATTTAAATATCGTGTACATGAAATGAATGAAAATCTCCCGGCTTCTTTTCCTCAGCATTCTTTGTACATGTTATAAGATTAATGGTCTAACAAATGAAGAATTTTCCTACCTTGTTAATGCAAAAGCTTTGCATAGCAAGAAGCCAGGGATCTGTTAATTATATGATTAAATAATACACAGGTTATGCTGTGCATTATTTGCCTTGTAGTTAATACAATATTTCCATGTTCTCCTTCTCCTAGAAACTAGTGGTGAAGATGGCTTTTTGTCGGGGAGGGTATGTTTTTATTACAGCTATTTTTCATTAATGCCAGAGTCCTTCATTTCAACACTATCATGCTGAAATCTTGACGTTTCTACTTGAGCCTTTTTACTGAGATTCACAATTTGCAGTTGCAATTAAAAAGTTTTCTACCCCTCCCTTCTATCGGGCAGGACTAGTGTTTGTTTGCATTTTTGTGTCTCAAATGACTTATCTGAATGCCTTGCACAGAGCAATACAAATGCCTGACATGGAGCAATACACTAACTGCTCATGGTGGTGCTATAAGCAACACCAGATAGCATGCAGGACTTATTACTTTACGAAAAAGACTTAAATAAATAGTCCTCCTTTGAGGAATGCATGCTGTTTCCTTAGAGATCCAACTGTTGGCTTGTTTATTCATTCATATGATTATATATATGACTGAAGTGGTACCCTGCAAAGTAAGGAAACTTAGGCCCCAGATCAATCCTCCCTAGAAAACATGGACACACTGATGCACTCTTCTTGTACCTTAACTTCCACCCCAAGTAAATACATTGCAGCAGGGGTCCCTCCAGACCATGGACCAGTACTGGTCCGTGGCCTTGGAAGAAGCGGGCTGCTGGGACAGATGAGCAGCAAGCAGGAGGTGAGCGGCAAGTGAAGCTCCACCTCCTGTCAGCGAGCTCGTATTAGGTTCTAATGCCACTGCTGATCTGACAGGAGCTTCACTCCCCTCTCCCCTCCTGCTGCTGCTAGATCAGCTGTGCCTGTGGCATTAGAATATAGGAGACTGTGTTCTAACCGCTGCTGATCTAGTGCCTGTGGCATTAGAATCTAATAGGAGATTGCGCTCCTATTAGGTTCTAACAGCTGCTGATCTAGCAGGAGATGGAGCTTCAATTGCAGTTCACCTCCTGCTCTCCGCCCATCTGTCCCAACATAATACATGTATTGAGCTTGATTCAAAGCTATCCTCCAACAACCTACTGCATAATAAGTATTCCCACCCCCACCCCAAGTCCTTGGGAGAATGGCCTTCAACTAAACCAGTCCTTGGTGTCAAAAAAGCTGGGGACCATTGCATTACAACATATTCTCATTAGCCATCCAACTCCCTATATAACAGTCACTAGTGGTGTGGCAATGCTGAAAAGAAGCACGCACATTGATACTGTCAATAGCTATATAAACAGATTTTGAGTGCAGTTCTATCGATTGCTAATCCAGTGAAATTGATCACTGGAGAAAGAAAATCTAATTTAGTGGGAGTCATCTTAAGTAAGCAGTGTTTTGGGTTTTTTTGTTTTAGGAAATCAAAGACTGTTGAGTTTACTTGGAGTGGAAGTTAAGGTATAAGGATATATCAACACGCCATGTTTTGATTGTTTTAGAGCAGATGATCTGAGTCTTCACCAATTAGTGTTTCCATTGAACAGGAGGGGAAAAATGTTTTCACGAAAGAGCAGATGATCTGAGTCTTCACCAATTAGAGTTTCCATTGAACAGGAGGAAAAAAATGTTGTTCATGGCTGTATTTTTGTACCTGATAAAACCCACAACAACAACAACAACAAAAATTTTGTTCATGGCTGTATTTTTGTACCTGACAGTAAGGGGCACTTAACTCATTTTTCTTTTTGTCTGGTCTATTTCCTCACTATATTGAGGAACAAAGCCCTGGAGAGGGGAGAATAACACCTTCAAAGCTGTCTTCCCCAAACTGAAAGTGTATGCAAGCATTGAATTTTAATTATTAAAGGTATACATTTGAATTTAATAGATTAATTGATGTTTCAAAAGTCCAGCCTTGATCAAATAATAGTTTTTTAATCAAGAGCCCTAATTTGTAATCTGCAGGATAGATGTTTACAATTGCATCCAGTTGAGCCAGAAGTAATTCTCCTCATCTGTCAGTCACATCTACTCCTGACTAAGTGGTCATTATAAGTTCTCATTCATAGCAGCTTAACTAATGTACAGTGGTGCCTCGCTAAACAATGATAATCCGTTCCACTGAAATCGCTGTTTAGCGAAATCATTGTCTAGCAAAAAGCATTTCCCCATTGGAATGCATTGAAACATGTTTAATGCATTCCAATGGGGAAGAATCGTCGTTGTCTAGCGAAGATCAGCCATAGGAAAGCCACTTTGCAAACTGCTGATCAGCTGTTTAAATCGCTGCCTTGCGAAGCTTAGGTCCCGAAAACACCCGTTTGCGAGCACGGAGGAAGCTGTCAAAATTGTAGTCTAGCGAAAGTCGGTTCGTGAAGCAGGGGCCAAACATTGTCCAGTGAAATTCCCCCATAGGAATCACTGTTTTGCGAATCGCTATAGCGATCACAAAAAGTCAATGTCTAGCGAAAAAACTGTTATGCGGGGTAACTGTCTAGCGAGGCACCACTGTACTGGAAAGTACTTTAAACTGACAGGATGTACATAAAGGAATGTACAGTGTTTTGTGGGGAGAGAAATTTTGGCTTATTTGCATTATTAATTGCAATAACCTTCACTGCCAGAACAATCTATGCATGGAAATAAATTTGTCTGCTTAAAGGGTGATCCCTCCCATCTACTTTCTGGAGCTGCATGCATAGGAGTCCCATTTGTGTGATCTCAATGTGTGTTTCCCTAGCATCTGAAGCGGGGAGAGGAGGTACTGAATCCAAGCTCCTCCCTTTCCACTGCAGTCTCCAAAATGCACTTCATATGGTAAAAAATGAGAATACTATCTGTTTGGCTAGTATATGCACAGAGATCCTTGAAGGCAGTAGAGGGTACATGAGAGAGGCTCTGTGATATGGTTTTAGGTACTGATGTTTACATTTTACAAAATCTACAGTCATGCATGATCTAATCCCGCACAGGTAGTCATATGGACAAACATCTGATGTTGGATTGGGAATTATGTGTTTTAAATGTATGTGTGTAGTTCCCTGAGGAAAATCTACAGTCATGCATGATCTAATCCAGCACAGGTAGTCATATGGACAAACATATAGTGCTGGATTGGGAATTGTGTGTTTTAAAATGTATCTGTGTAGTTCCCTGAGCTAGATTTTTTTTTTCAATCGGCAGGATGGGCACTTGTTGTTGTTGTTGTTGTTGTTTTGCAATCGGCAGGATGGGCGGCGATTATGAGTACAGGGCCAAAGAGATGACAGGCCCAATCATGTCTTCAAGCAGAAGGTATTAATAATTGGGAATAGAGATGGGCATGAACTGCTGGTCTGGCGGTTCGGCAGCAGCATTCCATCCCACCTCCTCTGTGCACTGCCTTTCAGTGGACAGCTGCTGGAGGGGGCAGGGTGGCAAATCACAGATTTGGTGAGGAAATCAATTCCATCAAACAGTCAAACCAGCATTTCATATCCATCTCTAGTTGGGAATGCATTAAAGCCCCTTTTCTTTCATTGGCTTTGCTAAGTTTATATATCTGAATGAAAATGCCATTTCTGCTAGTTATGATAGTTCTCTGTGGTCATGATAACTGTGTAGAATTTTTGAATACTTCTATATGTATTTTGAGGACACCGGTAATTTTTTTTGCATACTTTTGTTAACGTATTAAAAGTCAGCTTCAATTTCAATAAATAATGTCCTGTAGGGATTTTTCTTTCACTGCAGCGTACCCGATTAAAATAAATTGCATGAAAGTTCACCTGCACCATGGGACCTGCTGCTTTAAATGAATGATTGCCTTCTGAAAGACTGTTCAGTATAATTATGCCCATACAGAGGAATAGAAAATTCTTATGCACATAAAGAGCAGCAGGTATTCAATGTTCAAATGAAGCTTGCTCTCAAAGGTTAGCAGTGGATAGACAAACAGAATTAGTCCAGAGGATAAATTTGCTGTATGCCATGACCTTTGTCCATGCTATCCTATGGCTTATCTGTCATACTTTAACTCGGGCATACAAGGTTTGTGACCTGCCACCATGTGGTCTTCCACCAGGGGTTAATTAGCCTTTTCATTTATATAATCTTAGAACTGCAGAGCTGGAAGGGACCCTTCTGGATCATCTAGTCCAGCCCCTGTCAATGAGGCACAGCGGGGAATCGAACTCCTAACAAGACATCTAAACCACTGAGCTATCCAGCCTTTGCTAATTGGTTCACCGAATGACAATTTGACCTTCAAAGTCAATCGTTGACCCAAGAGCCTTGCCTAAGCAGAAATCCAACAGTATTTTCTTATAAATGCTCTCAGCAGAGTAACCCCCAGTCCTCCACGTCCTGCCTTGTCAACTGTTCCATAGATAGGTTAGATGTTCTTGTTGAACCAAGCTAGGAGGTTCAGTAAAATTCTGACACCATAAATAGTGTCTGGCATGGGTAATAAATGTATTACGCAAGCCAAGACTTCCTATGAAAGGGTCACAGAGCTATTCTTTTTCTTCCATAAATAGATTGGAAGTTTTATTTGGCTGAATGGGTCAGCAGTTGCATAGACCTTCTTCTGAAGAACCACCATTTTGTAGATTACTATCTAACCTCAGGTGCCATCATGCACCTGGACAAATTTTATGGTTCTAAGATTTCTCTTGGTTTGATTAGTGGGCATTATGATTATTGGTCACCAGAAGTACAAACTGACTGTTGGAAGATGTTGTCTTTTAACTGGTATGAAATGTTATCCACAAGGATCCACCACATGCACATTATTACATGATGTTGGACGTCATCGAAGGATGAGCATGTATGTGTGGACCCATCCCAGATCTTGAAGTTGTAAAACGATCACAGGTTAAATTCGGTGGAAGCAACATCCAGTCACAGAAAGAAGCTTTTGGTTTGTGATTGCCCTGGGCTCCATGCTTGACTATTATTGCACGGTGATGTGAGCAGAACACTGGAGTGAGCAGCTGGAGTTGCACAGGACAATTAACGGGCTTGATTCTTTGCACGGTGATGTGAGCAGAACACTGGAGTGAGGAGCACAGGACAACGGGCTTGATTCTTTGTACAGGACAACATACAAAATGTTTCTGAGATATGCTTTGCTAGCCCCTAAGATCTTAGGATGTGGTATATGAATTGTGATCCTCGTAGCCTATCATAACACCTTGCCTTGCCCCATCTGCAGGCATCTTAAGTAGCTTCACCACCAAGACTATGGATGGACTATGGATGCCCAGCAGTAATTTCGGAATATTTAATGCAGCAGAACTGGACTGCATATGCTTAACATATGAGCTGTTATAAAGTGGCCCAGTGCTATTTACTTTAATAGTCCCTGTGTCATTGTGTAGACTGAGGTTCTGTTCCAATGAGTGTTCCTTAGAGGTCCTGGTCTAAAACATATAGTGAGCCTTTAAGAGGCAGAAGAAACGAGATTTCCTCTCGTGTTCTTGCCATCAACATCCCCATTCTTTCAAAGGACCACCCAAAGGGGAAGGCTGTGAGTCTGTTTTCTGCAGTAAGTAATCATTTAATTAACGGGGAGGGCAAGGGAGGGGAGGGGAGTAACAAGAGTCTAAAAAGAAGAAGAAGAAGCCGCAGCTCTTTTTTTTGTTAGACGTTATATATAAAAAGGGAAAGAAATAATATAGCAAATCATTTTGTATAACATGAACTTAAGTGTTTTATACAAACTAATAGTGATCAGTCCCAAATGTCTTATCATCATGATAATACTGAACAACGGTGTGCGTCATGTCCATTGGCGTCAGAGGCCTTGGAATGGTAAAGCCTGTACATGCACAACCTCTTCTTTCCCCAGATATGCTGCAATATGGTTTAAACAAGTAGTAAAAGGAGAGCAGTAGTGTCCTTTTGGATGAGTACGGCGGCTTCAGTCATTTTCAGCGAATCCTCCCACCCAACGGGTCTCGCGGTTCCAAGGCAAAAGCCCTCCTCGGAGTAGATCCTCGTGTGTTAGCATGGGCTGCAGAGATGTCGTCTGCAGAATCCTCCCGGAACCCAGAAACCTCGGCTGGTCATTGACTGAATCTCAAGGAAAGGCCTTCATATTTTCCCTGATGTTTGATCAGTAGTGGTATCAAAAAAGTAGACAAATTCTTCTCAGAAGAAAATCTCTATGGCCTGTGGAACCTGGGGGTTAGAAGGAAGATAAATTAGTGGCACTGTCAGTGAGTAATCTCACCGAAAAAATATCAACATGACATGAGTTAGGGATGAGTGAAATGATTGTCAATTTTTTTCTGTAGTCATAAAAAAAACACTTTGGTTTCTGCCAAAATTGTATTATTTGAAGAGAAACTTCTAAATTCAAGAGAAGGCATTCAAGAGAAGATTGGACAACCATCTGTCAGATCTGCTTTGATTTGGATTTCTGCACTGAGCAGGAGGTTGGATGCAATGGCCTTTTAGGCTGCTTCCAACTCAATTATTCTATAATTCTAAATTTACTTTAAATCCATTGACAATCTTTTCTCCAGTCCCCTTCATGGCAATACTGCCTAATATCCTGTTGCTTAGCTTAGTAAGTCACATTAGTGCAGACTAATTGAAATTGTGGGAATTTATTTGGTCAACTCCTCTACAGGTTAAGTTGATCCAAATGGGCCTACTCTAGTTACCAAATCCCCACTGATTCACTGCACCTATTCTTGTGTGATTTACTATGCCAAGCAACAGGAGTTTAACCACGGTCACAGCACGAAGCTATTTGCAGGTTAATCAGCTGTATCATTTCTTTCCTTACTTCTCCAGATAAAGCCATTTATTGCCTTTGCCTATGTGGCGGCCTTTAAATGTCTTAGAGACTACAAATCATGATCCCCAGATCAGCACAGTAGTAATGGATGATACTGTAGCTATTTTACTCCAAAAAGCTGAAGACCCACAAAGGCTGCTAGACTCAAAAGGAGCCACATGGCACAAGGGTTAAACTGCAGAACTGCAATCAAGACTCCGTTTACAACCTGTGTTCAATCCCAACAAATTCAGGTAAATGGCTTATGGTTGACTCAACCTTCCATCCTTCTGAGGTCAGTAAATTGAGTACCCAGCTTGCTTGGGGGGGGGCAATGTGTAGCCTGTACAATTAAATTATAAACCTCCCAGAGAATGCTTTAAGTGCTATGGGACAATATATAAGCATCACACTTTAACTGTTTGTAGATAATAAAAAATAAATACCAAGATAACTAACCTTGTCAAATGCTTGCTTGACGCATGCACCTCCATTTCATTACTTTTGTATTCATTTAACTCTTTGCGAATGGCTGCCTAAAATGTTCAAAAGAAAGGAAGGTTAAATTGAGCTTTTAAAATAAGTAAGACAAGGCACCTTAAAAAAACTGAACACAACAGAGATAACATGCTGCTGTTTCACAATATGGAATCATGTCTGGTGGTTTAAAGTTTAGCATATAACCAGTGGCTTCCTGAATCAATATCACTACTTTGTCATGCACCCAATTCTTGATTCTCTTCCCTGCACAACTGAAAAAAAAAGCCTGCAGAAATTTCCAACAGCTTGTTAACAAAAAACCAACTAACATTTGAAAACACACATCAAAATCTTGATAAAAATGGCACAAGTGTGTGCTCCCCTACAGGCCTTTATGCCTGATCTGTGCCTGCAGGACAGTCAGATGATAAAACGGCAAAGCTGATGGAATGGATTGTACTTTTTCCTCATGGGAGGTGGGTGATACTGCTCTTGAATGCAGCTTGTATTTTATTTTTTTTAAGAAATCCTTCCAAGCAGGTGTTCTGTGATTTGGTGGCCACTCAGAGGAAGTGGCTGGAGGAAGCAGGGCAGAGAAACCAGGGCATTACCACCAAGTTGATGCCCCCTGGAGGGGACAGGGGTGCTAAACCATGGGGACACCTGTTGGGCCATCATCTGAACCCATCTCTGCATTTGAGTAATTCTTAAAACTAAGCTGCTTTGTTGTGGAGGATATTGGTTTCATTGCTGGTGTGAAGGATATATTATTTATCTATTGTTACCTGAGATGTCCTATAAGAACAAATGTGCATCGCAACAATCGTAAGTTGAGTTATACCTTGTCTGCTGCCGACAGCCGTGTCCATGGCTTGTCTGCTCGTCTGTCATAGTCCTGTGCTTTTGCCACTTCCACATAATCACTGAATCGAATGAGGATTTTTCTGTCCCTTAATTCATCAACTGTAGGTCTTTGATTAAGCTGTGGGGAGGGAAAAAAGTCTCAGTGTGATTATTCCAAAACAGAGAAGTAAGAGGAACATGGAGGAATGATTGGTTCTTCTTTCTGCACATTATAATGTTATGTATTGGGGAACATAAGTAAACATTTCTTCCAAGATGCATTCCTATTTCAACTTCATGAAGTCATCTTGATGCCCATGTTAGGAATCCAAAGTCTAACATAATTTGTGTAGGTGCAAATGCTCCACACTCACTGGATTTCTATTTTTGCATTGTTTAAGAGTGAGCAACTCTCCAGGAGAGCCCCGAGTGCTGTATTTAGTGTCCTGGAAATCTCCCAGTTCCTGGAGTTCATGCTGGTAATTTATTCTGGAGTGCTGTTCTTTACACATTATGCCGGGGAAAGCCCTCTCCCACTCCTAAAATCGTGAGTTCCCTGCTGTGAATATATTCTTCTGAATTGCGTTTTTTAGGGATATGTATCCAAGCATGAATATATACACACTTAAAACATCTGAGCCTTCCATAAATCAATTACTTTCAATTTTGAGCCCCATCACACGATACCTTTGGCCTACATAAAGTTATTTTTTGTCAGAAAAAGATGTAAGCAGCAGCAAACCAGGGAATCATGCCTGGAGCAACCGGTGCTGGAACTTTAGACAGTGCTTTTATGCTCATACCCAGCAAAGATCTGTGAAAACATGCTTTCAAGTCAAAATCATTCACTGCAGTAGCAGCTGTGGATGCAACCTGGATAAGCCTCAGAATACATGAGAATGCTAGGCATCTCCAGACTGTTGCTGTCAGTGCGTTTAAAGATCCATTCACATTCTAGCTCGCCTTGCAATTTCTCCATGTGAATTGTACTGCACTGAAGCACAACAGGACAGCTTACATGCTTTTACACTCAATAGATTTTTGTCTTGCATTTATGGGTTTGTACAAATACGTTCTGGGCTTGAAGTCGTACAAACACCCATGAATGAGACTAAGTTGTGAGAAGCCTCCAAATGCCAGTACAAGCCAGGAGTTCCAGATGTTGCTATAGCCCTCTACCCAAGGGACTCCTCTAGTGAGCGCTTCTGCTGCCACCCTGTTCACTCCACTGTCTTCTAAGAGAGGAGCTTCTTGATTCTGGAGAGCAAAGAGTAGGAGGGGGAGCTCTATAATAACCACTGGAACCTATAACTATCCCTTTCCCCAGAGGCTCCTGACTGTTGGACTCTCCAGATGCTCACCTATGAACATTCAGCAGTCACTTGGGGCAGGTGAGTGTGTTTATGCCTGTTAGACACACACCCTAATGCCAACACACTCAGCTCCTATCCCCTGGGGTAATGACACATTCTCTGGTAGAGAAGAGTAGAGTGAAGAGGACCTCTATACACATAGATGTTCAAAAGTAGGGTTCATCCATACGAGCATGTCCGTCTGGTCCAAGAAACTGTCAAATTCTGTACAATTCAATGCCTTTGTCCAGGGAATCCTGTGCAGCAAAAGTGTAATTTTGCATAGGAATTTTAACCATTCTGCACAAATTGGTATTTCTTCCAGGAAAAAAAAAGTGACCACAAAACATTAGAGAAATCCCATGAGATTTCTTGTGGGACTTCTTGTGGGGGAGTGAAACAAACCTCTCACAGAGAAATCTTGCTGTGAGCAGAAAGGAGGGTTGCTTTCCCTATGTTTTGCAAAGAGCAAAAAGATGCAAGATTTTCATCCCTCGTGTGGGATTCCTCTGCACAACCACCAATGTGCAGATAAGTCAGCAGGTGGTGCAGTCCCACTTCTTCCTCACACATTCATAAAACACACAAGGGGAGTAGCTCCGAACGCTTGTCTGGAGTCCCATTTTCAAGCATCGTTTCTGCTCTACATCTCTTATGAATGAATCTTGGCAATACGTTCAGAGAGAAGCTTCACGGGGTTCCTACAAGTCATTTTTTTAATACCAGGCTATATTTAGAACCCCTTCAAAGGATTTGTGCATTCCTTTAGGGAATGAATGAAACTCTTTCTCAGATTTATGGTCATGCTGGTAAATCTGGTTATTGGCATGGAGACGTTTTATATCCCCCGATTAGCAAAAACCTACAACTCAGCACAATGCTGAATTTGTAAAGCACGAGCCCTGTTCTGCAAACTCGTTAGCAATTTCTCTTGTTTCCAAGATCATTTGCAACAGGGAGCAGTACTTTATGAGACAGCACCAGATCCAGATTTCCTGGCTGTCTGCACAGAGCTCTTAGTGGAATGCTCAGCAAACAGAGCAGGATGCACAGACAAACACGTTATAGTTATAGGCAGGAAACAATTTGCATAGAACAACGTCATGCAGGAATACACCTCCTGCTCTCCTGGCAGCTGGCTCGCGGTGGACTTCTAAGCATAAGAAGTAATGCTGTCCCTAGCAAGTTAACCATGAAAATAAATGATTGTCAATTAGAAGAATACAGATCTTAGTGACTACTCCACTTGTCATAAGTAACATTTGCCAAGGGTTGCTCCCATGCAACTCCTTTAAGTATGAGGATGAAGACCATGGATACGCATCTGACCAACAGCACTTCCCATCAGGGGAAATTATTGCCTTTAATTGACTTCCAGTACGTAGGGTGGATCCCTGCTGTAAGGTGCATGTTTGCTTTCACCTCACAGGAAAGATGCACAAGGATTATGAATTGCTCAACAAATGTTCCAACTGTGGGCTAAGCAGCGAACCATTCCCTCAGATGCTTGCTCTGTCTGTTACACTTCTACACAAATCACAAAGTATCATCCAGCAAAAGAAGCTGTTGCCACAACTCAGAGCAACAGAGCACACTTTGCTGTGATTCATGTTTGCTGGATTGCATCCAGGCTTTTGCTTAATTACCTGGGGGGGGGGAAGGAGACAACAGTGGGACTCCACCCACAGGTGTCTCATCACTGTCTAAGCTCCAATAATGCACATGACATATGGGGCAAATATTACCATTCCTTATAACCACACTCAGTCGCAGAAGGATGTTTATTATTAACCATGTGCAAAATGTTAGTTGAAAACAGGGGAACCTTACCTTTCTTGTCAGCCTCTGCTTGATCTCTCTCCTTTCCTCCTGTTCTGTTTGGTCATTCCTTTCTGCAGGGAATATGAAGAGAGAGATGACTTTCCTCATCAAGACCAACTTTTCTCCTCTTCCTTTGTCTCCCTTGCCCTCTCTCCTTCTCCCTCTTTCTCCGTGTCTCTCTCTCCCTCTCTCTTTACACCACTGGCTTACTACACAGTCCACCTTCCCTGGTATTCTGCCAAAAGCATCACACGCTCCTTAGCAGCAGGGGCACACCGATGCCAACGTCAAGCCTTCTTGCTTGGTGGCCCAATTAAAATGGGCTTCCGCAAACACAAAGCAGCCAATCCCGTTCCTCTATTAGGACAATGAGGAGCATTTTCAGAAGGAAGATCGATAGACTTTTAGAAGTCTAAATGATCGCTTTGCGATGCCACATCTCTGTCTGAGTCATCCGTACTGCCCTTACGAGCTGGAACATTGTAGAGCAGCTGCTTCAGGGAACACACGTTCCTTGTACTCTTAACTCTGCCAGGCTTCCGTAATTTTGTTGATTAATTTATAACAATAGCCAGAAATCCACTCCCACGCATTCCTTTACCTTCTAGTATTCTGACTGTGCCAGTCTTATTATAGATCCATCCTTAATATATGTGGGGTGGGGAGGGGAAGGGAGGAGGTGGAGAAACGAAGGGCTTCCCTATCCATTTTCTTAACGAGATGCTTTCTAACCTAAGCCTATTTATTTTTTTTGCTCTTGCACGCCGTCACTATTAGTATTCAAGCTGTGATAACTCATACACACTAGTGCTAAAAATAGATACGGCGGCTGTAGCATCGTGTGAAATACATCCTTCACCCAGGGATACAACCTAATGGATTTTTCTATTTTCAGGGGCTGTCTGTTGCTAAATTAAGACGTGTGCCTTCAACCTGAAAGGAGCACAGAATGAACGGGAAGACCTTCCAGCATCTTTGGGGGAGGGGCAAGGAAAAGAAAGAATGGGGGGAGGCAAGCCTGTTTTGCACATTGTAATCCCAACTGACTAGGGGGCATTTTCCTGCATCAAGTGCGGTTATAATTTTGTCCCCTTCGGTAGGCTAACAAGCATTAATGATATTGCTATCAGGGGGAGAGAAGGCAGTGGGGTGGGCTGAGGGGAAACACGAGGATGGTATTTTTAGAATGCATCTCTCTCTCTTTCTCTCTCTCTGTCTCTTTCCCCCTTTGGCTGAACACTGAAAGGAGGCAGCCACATGGTGCTATTTATGGAAAGACGGTAGCAGAGACATTGTAATTGGAGAGCCTGAAATCCTCGCAGGCATGACAATAAGCAGCATAGACTGAATCTTGAACGTGAAGGATGCTCCTTCAGTAAGGATGGTGGCTGTCTGCTGTGGTGCCTCAGATCTGTGTGAGTATGCATATACATCAGCTTGATGTGTATGTATGATGCATGAGAAACACACACTCCCATCCATCCATTTTTATATATACAGAATACATCAAGGAAAAAAAGGGACGCATTGCACAAGAACAATAAGCATCATCAGCTCACCCAATATCACTAAATGTCACTAAATATCTAATTTAGGCCACTGTGCTATTTAAAGAGGTTCCACCAAAATAATAATAATAATAACAAAACACACCCATCCATCTTACTCGACTCCATTTATCAAAAGCTTTCAAGGCAAGGAACCATTGCTTTCTTTTGCATAAATGCAAAACCTAACAGGCTTCTGGGTTAAGAAACCCACAGTCCCACTGCTGATAATGAAAGCATATGGGGTGGGGCTTAAGGATGTTTTGAGTGCTTATTAATTTTCCTGCACTTGGTGGAAAAGATTGGGAAAAAATTGTCAACTGCAGTGAGATGTTCCCCCTCCCTTGCATAGGAGTGGGCAGACCAGGATATTTTCCCCATCAGAAGAAGCACCGGGGGGGGGAGTGGAAAACTTATATGCTTAACATCCATTTTGCTTTTTAGAAAGTTGTATTGTGCACAAAAGAGATACAGTAAGAGATTTTGTGCAAAATAGAGTTTTCACACAAACAGCATATACTGTATATGCTGAGAGATGGATATTCAATTTACAGACCCCGGAAGGCTGAGTGAACCTTGAGCTACCTGGGATTGAATCTGGGTTGTGAGCAGAGTTTTGGCTGCAGTACTGCACTTAAACCACTGTGCCACAAGACTTCAGAGCAAAACCCTCACACTCTCACCCACCAGGGAGAACATTTTGAATTTTTTTCCTTCTCATCCATGAGAAGAAAACAAACAAGCTTGCTGCAGTAACTGGGTTTACTAAAGGGAAGACAGCTTGCACAAAGTCAAAGGAAAAGCTTAAGGAAAATTACTGTATGGTCTCTAAATTCCAGCATCTCCCTGATAGCCTACCAGCTTTGAGAGTCTGGAAGTTACAGGCCATACTGTAATTTTCTGAATCTCTGCTCAAAGGCATTGTCTGTGGTCATTTTCAGACTCCTAGAAGGTGTAAATTACATTTTGAACTAAGCTCTCTGAAACTTTGGCTCATGGTACCTAGAATTAATGCAACATTGTATGCTGATTTAGACGAGAATCCGATTCTCTCTCTTTCATGCCTGGTCCATACATGACTTATAGTTTCCCAGGGTGAGATGCCACATGGCTTCGGTGCATCTGAATAATCAATGGCTCAAGCTGGTGAAGCACATCCCCACATCATTGCCACTGAGTACCACTCAAAGAGATCTGATGCACTATTTATTTATTGGACTTATATACCGCCCCATAGCGCTACAAGCACTCTCAGGGCGGTTTACAATTTTAATTATACAGGCTACACATTGCTCCCCCAGCAAGCTGGGTACTCATTTTACCGACCTCGGAAGGATGGAAGGCTGAGTCAACCTTGAGCCGGCTACCTGGGATTTGAACCCCAGGTCGTGAGCACAGTTTTAGCTGCAGTACAGATGACACATTATTCAGACAATCTCAGAATGGCCAGTGTTACTGCCACAGTAAATGGCAACCTTAGTGCATCAGCACCCTGGAAGTCTGTTTTAGTTTGAACGGCCTAATCTAGAGTGACTCCTACGGACTGTGTCTATTCTTACACATGACAAGAGATGGCAAGATTCTCGTGGCTTGCCCTTGAGATACAGGATCTAATTTACGGGCTCTGCCAAATAAGGAACATTACTGAATTATGCATCATGGCAGGGATTCTTAGTATCTTAATGCTGAGGTTGAGTTGGGAGAGCCTGCAACCTCTGTAAGAGCAGCCTGTCTCTGGCTACCCTTGTGGCTATTAATTATTAAGAGTCTGGCTTCGGGCCTTCTTAATAAGAGGACTCCTCCAGCTATCCAGTACCAAACAGGCATGTAATTTACACCTTCTGTTTCATGAGAAGGCTTCTAAATTAACCATGACATTGTAACCACGGCCGGAGTATGCCCAGATTGAATGATATTACATTCAGAGGAAAGAGAAATGGCTCAAAATAATGGGAACTTCACTCGCTGAACCACAGAATGGAGCCTGTAAAATCTGCACGAACTTTGGGGCTCGGCTTTCAAATTCGAAAGCCCCATCATTATGGGAGCTCGGAGGCAGGAGTGGCCTTTCTGCGCTGACAAGGTCCCCTAGTCCAAAAAAAGCCACCCTCTCTTCAGGGGTGAGCTTAGAGGCTCATCTCCAGGATCCAGAAATCAACACTCGCAAGCAGTGGCTGTAACAATGCAGACCAGAACTTGTAAAGGGTTCCTTCTCTGGATTATGATGCCTAGAATTCCCAAACCAGCCATGTCGATTGCAGGATTCAAGGAAGTGGGCTCCACAAAAAGAAATGTTGCAACTCCTGGGACAGCCTTTGCTGCCTCTTGGGAGCTGCCTTGTTGGACATGTTAGGGTAGCTTCATCATATTAATAATCCAGCCCTTGCCCCCCCCCCAAAAAAATCCTTGAAGAAATGTTAAGTGTTATATTTCTCTGTTATGATCATCTTTGAACTGCAGAACTGGAAGAGACCCTACGGATCATCGAGGAAGGCACAGTAGGAATGCAAACTCCTTACCTCTGGCTCCGGAGCCAGATACCTAAAACCTCCAAGCTACCCAGCAGTTCTATTTAGAGCTAGCATTGCTTGCATTTGTTGCAATCATTATGAGCATCAAAGGGGCATTCTGCCGTTTGTCCCAATCCTGCAAGCTTGTAAGAACTCCATTTCAGCTGATTTATTTATTTGCAGAAAGAAGCATTCCAAGCCTTCCTTCTCACAAATCAAGAAGAAACTCTCCATTGTTAACGTGTATAAGAAACCGCCTTACACCTTTTCAGACGTTCTATCCATCTAGATCAGTATTTCGTACTCTGACTGGCAGTGGTGCTCAGGGTCTGTTGTTCCCATCAGCTACATCATTTAATCTGGGACTAAACTTGGGATCTTCCACTGAGCTAATGTCATGCCACTCTCAACATGAAAATGCAAAGTGTCGGTGCTTGCCAAATCAAGCCGGTGGACCATCTACAGTTTAGTTGTCTGAGGAGAGTTGTCCAACAGATGTATCACACTTCCTGTTTCAGGTATTTTCTTGGGAATGGCTCTTTTATCAGATTTCATCAAGCCTTATTTGCAAGTGCCAGCCAGGCATCCTAATATATATATCAGGCATGCTCACCTGGCTGGACCCACCTTCAGGACACAGGAATTGGAACTGTGTTCCGAAGGGGGAAAGTCAATCTATTTTAGGAGGCAGGATTTCCCAGGAGAGCAAAATGCAGATAAGAGGACAGTTGCTCTATTTGCAAATGACATCCTGGAATCTCTTAGGCTGGTATGAATGTTTTTTCATTTCTCATTCTGCAGAGTTTTCCCTTTTCATTATAGCAACTGGGAAGGCTTGTCACCTGGACATGGCATGGGCAGTCTATACATGGAAGGAGAGCTGATGGCTGCAATCTGCACGCGTAGTAAGGTGCTCCTAGGTCAGCAGAACTGGCAATCCATGCTGGACTGCACAGAGCTCCCAACATATCACTTGGTGTGCCTATTGCCTATTTAGACAGTGAATCCAGGCCCACTTCTATAATGGCACTGGCATGGCCATCTGCATGAATGGGGGCAAAAGGGAAGGATGGTTTTATGTATGTGGACGGAGGCTGCTGTTCAGCTTTGTCAACCCACACCTTTCACAAGTGGATCAGATGAAGATAATAAAACTGGAGCATAGTTTACACATCAACAGGGAAAGACACACATACATACACAGAGAGAGAGAGAGAGAGAGAGAGAGAGTTGGGGTGAACAAATTTGGCCCCTAGATATTGTTGAGCTGCAAATGCCAGTGGCTATGTTAACTAGGGCTGATGGTCATTGTAGTACAACAACATCTGCAGTATCATGAGATGCTCACCCCTGTCCTAAGTGGACATACCCAGAAACAATCAAAATACTGTTTTGTATTTAAATTGTTCTTTAGAGTGTTCCAGTCTTGTTTTCTACACAATCCTTTAGAAACGATCCTGTGAAGCACACCATTACTTTCATTCCCATTATGCAAGCTGAGGAGGGGAGGCATGAAGGTGACAGAAAGTCCATCACATGAGTTCAGAGGAGACACAGCTTTCTACGCAGTACCAGTCATTACACCAGTGGTGGGCTTTGGGCAAATACTGAACAACACATTTACTCTGAAGGAAGCACCACTGCATCAATGGGATTTGCTCTTAAGGGTGTGTGTGCACACGATTCTTTCTTCCATCTGCAAAATCTTGTTAACTTGCCTTCATTGTTCTTGGAGTGAGTGAAAAAGTAACACAGCAACACCTACCTGCCTTGACCTTTTGAAATCTCAAAGCACACATCAAATTATTTGCTTGCTAAACACTTTCTACAGAGATGTCTTATCTCTGTAAAATTTCAGCAAACTGCTAAGCATTAACTATAAAATTACAAACTTCTGCAACAAACTCACTAGGGCATTTTGGAGCAGTGGTGTATTTTGAAACCTCAGTTTTCAGCCAGCAAAATGGGCATAATTGTAAAATCCTTCCCTAGATTATGAGAGCAAACAATATAATATTACAAATTTTTGAACACTGGGTGTATTGTTATGATACTGCGAATGGTGTGATATTATTGTACCATAGCCCTTATTTATAATGCTGCTGCTGCAAGAGACATTTGACAAGTAAATATTATATAGCTTAAGAGTAGACTAGACTCCTAGAAATCCAGATCCCACACAAGATAAGCAATCTGGTCATCAGCATACTTTCAGACAGGAAATATAAATTGTCGACTACTAGAAGTTGCAATTTGCATTTAGAACAAAAACGTTCAAGTATGTACTTACGTTTCAAAATATTTCTTCTTTCTAGTTCCTCAACAGCAGGTCTTTGGCTCAGTCGCCTGCGAAAGAAAACCAAGATGATGTTTTGTACCATGGTCTCTTTGTTTTGGGTTGGTTGGCTGTTGGGTCAGGGGACCCCCCTCTTTTCCTCCTTTTTTTAAAAAGCAAAGTCCACTTTCTCCTTAGACCAAAAGAGCCGGCTTGTGGAATCCAATCACAAGCTGCCTTTTCAGACCTTTCTCTTTTCCGGAGAGAGAAAACTTCATTGGCTGGTAGACGCCCCTTTCGCTACAGTTTGGCCCACTAACACAGATTCATCTTCTCCTGCTCTTTGAAGCCCGCGAACACCAGTACTACTATTAAGGAAGTGCCACTCCTCCAATTTATTATTATTATTTTTTAAAGATATACTTCTTGCAAGTCTTATCTGCAGGAGCTGCTTGGGAGTTTCCTGAAAGGTGGAAGCGCTCCCTTGAAAAGCGAGGAGGAAATCTCGTCTAGTATCACCGTTGATACATCCTGACAGCATTTAGCCTTGTTAGAAAAAGAATATGCCTTGTGTATGCAGGTGGTTCCTTGCATGAGGCTGTCACAGTGCAGGCTGAGAACACGCTGCATATAATAGCTCTCTTTTCTGTGTGTAGCTGCTTAGAGCATCACAAAGCACCCAGTCGGAGGCAAATACCTCCCCCTTTACTAGAGCAGCATTGGGATTGCCTCAGCAAGATCAGATGATCATGGCTACAGCCATTGGATCCTGTCCCCCAACTGAGACTTCCCCCAAAAGATGCACATGCTAATATATCTGCCTGGCAAATCTCACAGGGTAATTGTCCGCCCCCACACAAACCTTTATAGATACCTTATTGGCTGGCTGTTGAATAACAGGCTGTGGATTTAGCTACTAAATAAATAAATGAACAAACACATCCAGAAAAGTTGAGGGGGGAGGGGAAAAGAGAGAACAAAGCATACAGAGAGAGAGAGAGAAAGAGAGGGAGGGAGGGAGCGATCAAATATCAGGCTTGCAAAAAAATGGGAGAGTGAGATTTTTTTCCCCTTTTCATTTCCTTATCAGATGCACTTGGAAGCCATAAATGATCACATGTGATATGAATAGATAAAGAAGAGAGTTAATTAAGTGATGCTATAGAAAGGTCCCTGTCTAAGCCACAGCCACAGATGATCTGGGGTTAAGGGCAAAATACAGGAGGAAGGAGCGGGGCAGACAGAGAAATGATACAATTAATCATCTTAATGATTTACATAGAATGTCATCAGTTTTCCTACAGTTTTAGTTTCAAATAAGGCACATGAGTAGTGTTTTGTCTTGTTTTAAAACAGAATCACCACGGTGGCTGCAAATTGATGGTTATTATGTGCTCCATAGCCATTCCTAAGGAGAATATGTATAAGCCAGCTTTCCCCAGAGACATACTTTTCCTCAGATGTAACTACCTGGTTTGCTTCTCCATCATCTTAAATTGCAGCTTAAGGCTGGATTTCTATTATCACCTTACTCGCCTCATATCTTTTATCCCAGTCAGTCTGGGCGAACCTTTCACTTATCCTTTTTATTTTCAACAGGTCAGAATTTTATCACTTTCCTCCATCGATTTTTTCCCTTCATCCCTTGTACCACCTTCACCTTTGCTCTTCCTTTGTACATATCGTGTGATGAATGTCCTGTGTTTCTCTATAATTCCTCACAAGATCATGTGGAGGCAGCTGGGCCTGTGAAGAGAAGCAGCACCAGTACCACTAGCACACCCAGCTTGTGGTCACCCTCTCAAACTCCAGAATGTCCCTTCTCATTTGTTTGGGAGGTAGACAGGAAATCCATGTTGTACAGTCATGGCCAAATATTGGCACCCTTGCAATTCTGTCAGAAAATGCAACACTTCTCTCAGAAAACTGTTGCAGTTGCAAATGTTCATTTCTTTGGTTTGCGTTGGAACAACACACGCACAAAAAACAGAGAAGAGACCCAAAACACAGAAACCCAAAAATACACTGGCCAAAATTATTAGCACCCTTATCTTAATATTTGGTAGCACCCACTTTGAAAAAAATAACTGAAATCAGTAGCACCCTTATCTTAATATTTGGTAGCACCCACTTTGGAAAAAAATAACTGAAATCAGTCGCTTCCTGTAACCATGAATGAGTTTCTTACACCCTTCTACTAGAGTTTTGGACCATTCTTCTTTTGCAAACTGCTCCAGGGCCTTCAGATTTGAAGGGTGCCTTCTCCCAACTGCTATTTTGAGATCTCTCCACAGGTGTTCAATGGGATTCAGATCTGGACTCATTCCTGGCCATTTCAGAACTCACCAGCGCTTTGTTTGTAACAATTTCTGAGTGTGGTTCAGGTCATGGTCCTGCTGGAAGACCCATGACCTCTGGTGGAGACGCAGATTTCTGACACTGGCCACTACGTTGCACCCCAAAATTCTTTGGTAATCATCAGATTTCATGATACTGTTCACACAGTCAAGGCATCCAGTGCTAGAAGCAGCGAAGCAACCCCAAAACATCTTTGAACCTCCACCATGTTTGACTGTAGGGACTGTGTTCTTTTCTTTGAATGCCTCATTTCTTTTTCTGTAAGCAATGCCATGATGTCCTTTACCAAAAAGTTCTACTTTTGTCTCATTTATCCACAGTATGTTCTCCCAGAAGGATTGTGGTTTTGTCACATAAGTTTTGGTATATCCCAGTCTTACTCTTCTATGCCTTTGTGTCAGCAGTGGTGTCCTCCTGAGTCTCCTACCATAGCGTCCCTTTTCATTCAGATGGCAACGCATAGTGCAAGCTGACACTGTGTCTGCAGATCAGCTTGAATTTGATTGGAAATTAATCTGGGTTCTGTATCCACCATTCAAACAACCTTTTGTTGTAATTTTTCAGTAATGTTGTTCTTCCCTCCACGTCCAGGGAGGTTAGCTACAGTGCCATGGGCTGTAAACCTCTTGATGATATTGTGCACAGAACACAGGAACATTAAGATCTCTGGAGATTGACTTGTAGCCTTGAGATTGTCCATGTTTTTCCACAATTTTAGCTCTCAAATACACTTCATTCTTTTCTCCATGCTCAGTGTCACACACAACCCAAAAGTTGAGTCAACGTCTCCATCTTAACTGGTTGCAAGTGTGATTACTATATTGCCCACACCTCTTACTCATGACAGGTGTGTCTAAATACAAATTAAAGGAGCATCACATGCTTGACAAGCAATTATTTCTTACAATTTAGTCAGGGTGCCAATTAATTTGGCCAGTGCATTTTTGGGTTTCTGTGTGGGATTGTATCAGATTTGACTTTTCTTTTCTGTTTTTTGGTGTTGTTCCAACGCAAACCAAAGACAGGTCAGTACCAAAATATTTGCAACTGCAACAGTTTTCTGAGAGAAGGGTTGCATTTTCTGACAGAATTGCAAGGGTGCCAATATTTTTGGCTATGACTGTACAACATGGCTTTCCTGTCTACCTCCTAAGCAAATATTATGCGTGCCGCATGCATCCAAACATCTTTGTGCTCAGCCGGTGAGCCTCAGCTCAAACTAGGGTTGGGCAAGAAATAAATACAAAGTCAATTAAGCCACCACACACAATAAAATCAATATGTTCCTCATCTAGCACCAGGCATCCCAAAAAAATTGCATCTCCACTTGGAGACAAACAGCAGTTCCTGAGACTTCAGCTAATACATGAGACCTGGCAACATTATGCAGGAGGATAATTTCACTGAAAAACACGATGCAGGAGGCAACGTGAAATGATTATGAAAATTCAGTTAGAATGTTAGACCCTGGATTGTGTGCCCAAATTTGGAAGCCAATCCTGGATTCATGTACAATCAGATCATTGTTGCTATTGCCTCACCACTTCTTGTAATCACTTCTGCCTCCACACCTCACTTTATCTAGGAAAGCTTGTCAGTGGCCCCGATGGAGGAGGGGATCCACTCAAACACTGAGCAGAGTTGTATCAAACTTAAAGTCAGTCATCATAGGCATCCTTCAGGCTCGAAAGAGCATGAAGCCTGGGTAAAGTAATATGGAAGATAGGCTGTTACCCAAGCAGCAGATCCCCCCTCTCCACGTTGCTGAAATGGTCCAATGGAAAGGCAAGAGCCAATACAACTGGTTCCAGCAACGTCACAGGAGTTGGCAGAACGACAAGAACTGCCTTCGGGACTCCAGCTCCGGATTTTGCCTCTAGGTTAATTCCTGAAGCCTTTTCCATCAGTGGATATAGCCACAAGGCAGTGGAGGTTTGAAATCGGAGTTTTCCTTCTCCTAGATGGGCTGCCTTCCATGGCTGATGAGCCCCACCTACCCGGCCTTCATTAGAAGTTACTTTAAAAAAATAGAACCAACTGCAAGGACAATAGTCCTACACCACAATCCTTCACGCTTTTTGTGCCCCCAAACCTAAACCAGAGGTTCCAAACCTTATTCTATAGTTAATCTTCTCATTAATGGTCTGCTTAAAGCCAGTAGGATCCTCTTAAAAGAAGTGGAATCTCCCTAGTGGCAAAGTGTTGTGCTCGCATTGCTTGCAATGAACCACTGGGTAAACCTTATTCATGTCCACTGATATGTACCCAAGGCAGTATTAAAAGGTAGGGTGGTGCAATGGGCTGAGTGACAGATTAGGACTCTGGAGAACAGGGCTCAAATCCCCACTTGGCCATGGAAGGAACTTGGGGAGTGGAACAGGTAAAAACATTCCTTAAATATCTCACTTACTTTGAAAGCCCTATTAAGGTCACTATAAGTCAGTTCTGAATTGATGGCACACAACAACAACAACAACAACAACATTGCTGGCTAAAGGTAAAACACAATGGTTTGCTCTTGCTACAGCTGTCAGATTACTTTATGCTAAGAGGATCGTGACAATATGGCACACGTAGTTGCAACTTTATCATTAATTGTTACTGGTAGGCATAACAATTACTAGTTGTGACACTCTTTGCTACACCCACACCTTATTCATGAGTAGATTTTGTGGGGACAGAAAGAACAAGTCTGTATAAATATATGAATGAT